AGTTTGCTAACAGGGACAGAGTAAAGGTACTGGAAATGAATAATAGAAGAGGCATCTACAACTAGGAGGTAACCTAAAGAAATCAAAATTTTTTGTTTAATGAATAATATAAAAGGAAAACAAAAGGCTGAAGGTTCTAGCTTTAATACAAAATGTAATTTGATCCCTTTGATCACCTTCGGAAGCCTTAAAGGGATTTACTAGATAGAAATGAATGAGGAACAGTCATCAGGTTCTCGTGGATGGAGGAAGAAAACAAAAGCCTGCCTGCCTTCTAATGCCATCCTCAGCTGGTTATTGCCTCAAGCAAAACCCTGGCTCTATTTTTAAAGATAACTATTACTGCTCCCCTGACAGTAATATTACAGAGATAAATGATAAAAAACTGAGAAGGTCTGAGCAACTATTCGGCAGTTCAAAATTGTCAAGAATTTGTTTTACTTTTTTTTCAAGAACTGAGGAGATTTCTCATTGAATGTTTTTCTAAAAAGCAAAAATTTAAAATGATGCAGAAATAAATTATGACCCAAGCATGTATCTGCTGTCACAATTACATGGAAAGGATAAGTTAGATATTTCATATCTCCATCATTCAGGCAAGTTTCAGATTATACATCAGCCTCTATATGCTATTTGTTCAGTATAATTGTTATAATCTAGGTGAGAAAATTACAAACCACAAAACATTTAAGCCAAATTAGAGTCAGCCACTCAGAATAGGTTAACACATAGAAAGACTATTAGCCCTGATGCTCAGGGTGCAGCACTTATAAAGGCAAAATCCATAATGACCTCATTGTCAGGTGTAGGTAAGGAGAATCAGGTAACTTTGGTTTGGAGAATATTTTTGGTTGTGAATTTGGGCTATGTGTGTGTTGCCAAGGTCAGTGAGACTGTTCAGGGAGTAAAGGGCTGGAAATCACATGAGAAGACACAAAATGGACCAGGTTAAGATCAGGACAAGATGGCACTACCTTGGTCACTTAAACAATTATATTAAAAAAATTTAAAATAGACCACTGTGCCATTAACACATATTTTTCTACTTTAGTCTAATTTATATTTCATTGCTTTTATTTTGAGGTTATAATATAATTACATCATTTCTCCCACTTTGCTCTCTCCAAGTACTCTTATCTACCCAACACCCTACTCTTTTTCAAATTTATGGCATACTTTTAACAATTATTACTGGTATAGATAAATAGATGATAGGTAGATAGATAGATAGATAGATAGATAGATAGATAGATAGATAGATAGATAGATTCCTAAGCACATAAATACAACCTTATCAGTTTGTATAATATTACAATGTATAACATTATATACATTGTGTATGTGTGTACAATGTATACATTTTTTCGTCCAATACAAACGCCTGACATTTGGTACTGGATAGCCATTAGTGTGCTCTTCCCTGGGGAAGACTATTACTCCTGGTCTCAGTATTCTCAGTTGCTTGTAAGTTCTTTGTCTAGGGCTATGGCCTTGTGATCTTTGGCCTTTCCATGTTAGATGTCTATTGGTGTTGTCTTTGTTCGGCTTCTATTTAGGTACCCATGTTGGTGAGACTTTATGTACCATGCTCTGATGTTCCTAAGAGGCGCAATCTCACAGCGAAGTCTTTGTTCCTCTGACCCCTTTAAAGTTAAACTAGTCCACAAGTAAATCAGTTTTTTAAGTTGGATTCAATCTTTTATCCCTGCTCTCTTCAAACTCTAAATTTGGCTGTCAACTATTACTCATCCTGGTATTGTCTATATTAGATAATATAGAGAGATAGGCAAGTTAGAAAATGAAAGCACTCCACTCTGTTTTTATTGCTCTTCTATAAAATGCTTAATTTGCTTTGAAAGTTGTCTCAAATTTAGAATGTGTCATTTGGAGACTAACATTGGAGCTCCTGACCTTCTAACAGAGCGCTCTTTGTTTCATTACATCATATCCCACTCTTCATGAGAAGAAGAGAATATGCTTCAAACTGGAGGGAGAGGGTTTCCCAGTCCTAAATGAAATCTACTGCCATGTTATAACACACACACACACACACACACACACACACACACACACACCACCCACAACACAACAATAGAACAGGATCTGGGGACATAGCCCAGTCAGTTAAGTAACTGGTTAACAAACATAAAACCTTGAGTCTGCTCCCCAGCACACCTGTAAAAAGCCAGGGGGAAAAGGCAAATAGATGTGGTAGCATACACTCCTGTCTCTGTGCATGGGGAGAAGTGGCAGAAAGATTCCTAGGGTTCGAGCCTGGTCAGCTCAACTGAATCAGTAAGTTTCAGGCAAAACTGAGAGACCCTGTCTCAAAAATCAAGGTGGAAAATGAACCAAGGAAAACTCCAAGTCCATTTACACACATGTGCGCATGTGCACCTGCACAAATGTAAATAAGCTTACACATACAACTGAAAAGTACATTAAAGAGACTTGACGTGGATGAAGTCAATGGAAAGGATTATATGAGGAGGGCTAGGAGAACACAGTGGGTAAAACACTGCCACACTAGCCTGGGGAAAGGGGTGCAATCCCGGGAGACCACAAAAAATGGAGGGAGAGAACTGACTTCACAAAGCTGTCCTCTGACCTCAATATGTGCACAGTGGCATACAGATGCACACACACACACACACACACACACACACACACACAAAATTCAAAAGAAAGTGTTAAATGATATATTCTTCCAATTCTATGATATCTTGTAAAACAGTAAAATTATTGAGACACAAAAAGATCAGTTGCCACAGAAGCTTGGAAAGGAGGATATTATATAGAACATAGGGACTTTTTTTACACAATGGGGCTATTTTTTTATACTTTACTAGTAGATTCATGCCATATGTCTTTGTCAAAACCTCTATACTGTACAAGACCAAGAGTGAATCCTAGAGGAAGCTATTAACTTCTGAGGATAGTGATGTATCAATGTAGGCTAATCCACTGTAACTAATGTACAGCTCTGATGGGGAATATTAATACTTGGAGAAAGTGTGGATGTGAATACGATAAAAAGAGGAATAGGAGTCCTATACCTTTTGCAAAGTTTCTCTGTGAGCCAACTATCACATTAAAGAATAGCATCCCTTGTGAGAGGAAGATTTCAGCTTGCATATGCCTCATAAACAATGTTATCTCACTCTTTGCTGAACTTTCTATCTGAACTACTCTAGGGTATTAACAAGAGAACCAAAGGAAGAAAATGTAAGCCAATAGAATAAACTACTAGGAAAGCAAAGGTCTCTGAGTGAATCCTAATTTAGTCTCTATATCTCCGTCTTTCTCTTTCCTATAATCCCTTTTGTAGACCTCATAGCTTTTGCCTTCTGTCTCATGACACAGCCTCAATATGTGCATCTGAAAAAGAGGGGGCAGAGCAATGCTTTGTTGCAGAACTCTACTACCTTCCCCGGTTTTGTTGTTGTTGTTGTTTGTTTGTTTGTTTTGCCAAAGCTTAGTGATATAAAGTAAGCGTTAGTTATACTGTAATCCCAGCAGTTGGGAGGCAGAGGCAGGCAGATATCTGAGTTCAAAGCCATTCTGGTCTATAGAATGAGTTCTAGGACAGCCAAGGTTACAGAAAGAAACCTTGTCTCAAAAATAAAAAAAAAAAAGCAGGCGGATCTCTGTGAGTTCGAGACCAGCCTGGTCTACAGAGCTAGTTCCAGGACAGGCTCTAAAACCACAGAGAAATCCTGTCTCGAAAAAAAAAAATCAAAAAAAAAAAAAAAACCTGAAGGTTCATAACTTAAACAAGAATTAGGTAGAGATGGAATATCTGTGTTCTTTGGTGTCAGGGACCAGCCAAGCTAGAAATACTTCAAGAGTGAATTGATTTAACCTTTGGGGTCTGTAATCAGGTAGAGACATTTTCTCCACATATCTGGGAGTGCATGGCAGCTATGGGCTAGGATCTCAGCCAGATAATGGGATAAACATGTGGGTATTCATCAACTTCTCTGTGTGGATTGGCTTGTATAAAGAGAGAGCCTCTCAAAGGAAAAAAGAGAAAAGAAATGACCCTGAATGAGCTAGTTCTAAAATAACAGAGCATCCTTGCTGTAAGATGCAAACCTGCCCCAACACCTCTATTCATGTTTGGCAGAAAATGACAGAGATCAAAACCACAGGATGGAAAGAGGGCCAATGTTACTGTGTAAGAACATGTGAAATAGGCAATGATCTTGCAACATTTTGGAAAATACTGTATCTTATTGGGTCTTTCACTTAATATGCAATGTATTTGAGTAATTGTTAGACTTTGATCCACATCTAACTTCTTATTGTTTAAATTATAAACCATGCCATAGGATGGCAAGCATAGCCATCAATTTACATGATAGTCAACCACAGTACTCTGCACTTAATCATCAGAATACATAATATTAATAGTAGTGTTGCAACTGTGGACAGATACATGGAATTGATTAACACTGTTTTTATGTACATTTGTAGTTTGTTTCCCCAAAGTCCTCAACAGTAACCAAAGATCATAGTTCATGGGCTGGAGAGATGGTTCAGAGGTTAAGAGAACTGATTGCTCTTCCTGAGGTCCTGAGTTCAATTCCCAGCAACCACATGGTGGCTCACAACCATCTATAGTGAGATCTGATACCCTCTTCGGGTCTGCAAACATACAGACAGACAAAACACTGTATACACAATAAATAAATAAAATCTTTTTTATTTATTTATTAGATCATACTTTAATGTTCAAGAGAAGTTTTATTAGTCCAATTATGTCTTTGTTACTTGAGAAATATATGAAATCTCTTCTGAAGAGTATAGAGAATATTGTAAAACAATAATTGAATCTCATATTTGAAGACAGAAAATCACTACCTTTAAGAAACTACTTTTTGCTCTTTCATTATTAATTAGCTTTAGTTTTCTTGATTGTTTTGATTTGTAAGGACTTTGAACATTCATTTTCCATATCTTCTGAAACGTGAACTAACAGATGCAATTGTCCTTTTCAGTTGACTTCATAGGTGGCTTTGATTCTTATGGCTATCAAGGGCCTCAGAAGACATCTCACTTACAACTACAACCAATGTACATGTAAGTACTCGGCTTGGAAAGTATCTCTCTGGGGTATGAAAAGATAGTCAAGTAAGTGTACCATGGCACAAAAAAAATGCATGTAGCTTTCCCTTGGTTGTATATTTCGATTTTCTACTAATAATATTGTTTTTACTAGAATGATTCTAAAACATTTTCTTCGTGTTTGAAAAAAAAATGACATTGAAAGGCCTTTAAAGTTTTCTTTAGTCTTGTGTAAGTATCATCTACATGGCTCAAAAGCCTCCATTATATAATAATTCTTTAAATTACCAGAAATGTGTGTATTTTGAAAATATTCTAACAGTATAGGCAGTTATATGTAACTATATAAAACTTAGTCTCTGGCTTCCCCGATACAGTCCCAAATGATGCTCGCTGTGTTCATATCCTTGTTATCAGCCCTCCATATGAGTTTTGAGTGTTTGTTTAAATGATAAATGCTAGTTCACCCTAGTGATGGACACATATTCCAAAATTTCAAACTCTGAGCCATACCTTACCAATGTGAAAGTCAAAATGAACCTGGAACGTGAGAACTGGAACTGATCAAACCCTTAACTGTAGCACTCAAGAGCACAGACCAACAATCAGAGCCTGATTTTTATATCTGTGTTTAGGCAAATTCCCTTGGATAACAACTGATAGCAAATTCTATATCTCAGCATCAAGTGGTATGCTGAATTGCAAGAGAAGATCAAAATAGAAAGTAAGCTTCCAATTCATTTTAAAATGTGACTTCTCTTTGAAGATATGTGTTTGTTGTCCTTGTCCTCCACCATCAAGTCATTTACCTTTCAATGCCTTCAGCATGTAGGATAATGAATGGAGTTTGGGGGTACGTCTACTCCAAGCAGATCGGTCTTTAGACACTTCTCATAAGTTCCTCTTCTAAAAGAGAATGGTGTATGCATTGTGCCTGCCTTCTTCTATGTGTCCCTTGTAGTCTTCTGCAAATGTTTGAACAGCGCCACTCACAAAAACCGATTGTACCTATCCAGAAGTCAAGTAATACCACATCCCATTTCAAATCATTCCCTCTACAAACAGTAGATCACACATCCTTCTTTTACATCCAAAACTGCTGCCTGTTTCAAGTATCCATGATCAACCACTGAGTTTTCCAGATTCATAACTTTGGAACTTTTGCCCCATCCTATACATGGCTGCTAAATTAATATTCCTAAAGTACGTCTTGCAAGAGTATGCTGATCTGGGCACAATGTTTTATTGAAACATTTTCTTAATAACTTTTGTGTCACCGCTATAAGCAAGTGGATGGTAAATGGTGCTAGGAACACATAATACTGAGATAGCAACTACTGAAGCTTTTAATTTGTTAGGAGCCTAAATGCTGTGGGAGCTTCCCTGAGCTACTTTCTTCCAACAAAACTGAAACATTTGTGTTCTCCAAGGATGACATGTGTTTTTCCGCTCTCCACATTTTTTCTTGAACAAGTATATTGTCATCCAGCATATTGTTTCCAATCAAGCATTTCTAATTCTAACGTTAATCTTTAAACAAGAATTTTAAAAAGGTTATCTTTGTAAAGAATTAAATTCCCTAACAGCACAACTTTCCCTAATTTTCTTAAATAGAAAGCTTTACCTTCCAAATAAACATAGCCAGATAGCATTCTCCCCCATCAGTGCCTGAGAATGGCACAATTATGTGACAGCTTTTAAGTCTCGTTACTAATGAATTTCTAAACATTTAATAGGACGCGTGTCCAGGATATTAGGAATACTTGAGATGCATGAAAAATTACTAGTCAAAATTCTGCCTTCGCCTCTTCTATAAAGCATCTCTTAGAAAGTATCAGATCACAAAATTCTGTAATTTTATCCTATAAACCAAAAAGCAGAATCAAGGGACAGGAAAACAAAATTCCCCCAGCTTGTTAGTGGCACACATGTACTTTTCCTGACCCTTGTTTGATGACTCTTCAATTCCTTAAATGGACGGCAAGTCCAGCCTGGCATTGCCTTCCCTGGTTTTATTTCACTGGTTCACACAGCCAAGGTGGCTGTCACGTTCCCACACAAGTGCCCTGCCCCCTTTCCCATCTCCCTCATCTCCTTCTGATTTCACACTCTATAGTGTTGGATGCGGAGCTTTATAGCTATGCAACCCTCAAAAATCTGTCTTCTGAAAGCCACTGCCCAGTGGGGTCCCGTGAAAAATCAAACTTGATTCACCTGTAAACCTCATCCCCGCTGAGAGGCAGAGCCCTGAGCACCAACTCTGTCTTTGTCATTGGCGTATACCTTTGTCTGTCAGCTCGCCATAAATATGTCTTGTAAAGTAAGAGGAATTTAACATCATGGGCCAGCTCAAGCGTCCTAGCCATATTATGTTGCCAATATTGAAATAACAACTGTTCTTTTGAAAGAAAGCAAATGCTAAAAAGCAATGTACAGTTCTAGCTATGGGATTTCTATTACATCCACCAAATCTGTGGCCTCGCTCCTGGACAAAGCCATGAAGTCACTGACAGCAGGAACTCACAGCCACAGCCAATGGAAAATAAACTGTCCTCTTAAATTGATAGTTCCTTTGGGTGTGTGTTCTTAGTTTGTAATTCTTCAGATATACGACCATATAGAAGAAAGGTTCTCTCTCTTTCAGCCTACAGTTTTTCACATATATATACAAAATAAATTGATAACCATCAGAAATTTCCATGTCATCTCATTAACTTTCTAATAAAGTAATTTTTTTATCCCAACTGACTTATGTGCCATGGCACCTATGAACATGATGGTGTCCCCTTCCTCCTACAAATATCCTGTAATGTACTAGACAGCATGCAAAAACACTGTGCAGCCGATGGCAGTACATACTCATTTCATGTGTTCCTGGAATGGTCATATGTGACCTCTATTGGTGACACTGGAGGAATAAAAGGGAGAAAAAAAATGTTTAAGTCCCAATCTGAGCTTCTACTTCCTTATGTCCCCTATCTTTTCTGTTTGCTCTTGTGTTTGGAGAAGTGAGAGTGGGAAGTAAAAAGCAGCCAGCATTCTCTCTTGACTAAAATCTTCTTTTCTCTCTCTTAGGTCAAAATAACACAGATGACTTCTGTCTGTCAGCCCATGGACTTCTCAAATGACTTGTGCAGTGGCCTCCTGCCTTTTATGAAGAGCAAGAAGCAAATGAATTTAAATACACATACACGTTATCACCAGACCAAACAGGAAGTTTCTACATAGACACATGTGTGAAAACACACACACATGCACTCACCACTATCACGATCATGCACACATCAACTCCACTGGACCTCTGACTGAAGCTGATAAATATGCAGGCCACGCCTATCCTGGATTTCCTTAAAGCAGGCTCCCTTCTCCCAGGCCTTTTTTGAAGGTGGGAAAGGAGAGGCGTTGGTGCCCCCTGCAGGCTGTTCCTTACTCCTCTGCAGCACAGCCTGTTGACTCTGGGAGGTGCCGAGTTAACCCAGGCACACATGTTTGGAACCCTTTTCTGCACTCCATACCATACACGTTGGTAGCACCACAGCTACTTAGGCAACATAATTGCAAAAAAAAAATAAAAATAATAAATAATAAAAAAAAACAGACAGACAGAACATGCTGTGATGACCTTGTACCAAATGTGAAATGGCAGGATGTTTGCCCTAAAGGCTATACCGTACTTACTTGCCTTAACCCACCTGAGTTGTGTGCCCGAGACTCTCAGTCCCCCAGTCACTTCCTTTAGGCTCACACACTGCTATTAATTCCGAACAATTTGACTCTGTCTCGCGTCAAGGAAGAAGATGGAAACTCTCAGCAGCCCCAATGTGTCTGTGTAGGGAAATGATGCTTTACCACTGAGCCTCTTCGGTGGCCACAAAGAGACAAGGACCAACAGCAACAGCAGCTGTCATCTTCAGGTCTCTGAAACATGGTCTTCTGATGTAGTCGGGGTGAAACAAAGTAAAATGTGTGAATCTACTAAACTCGTTAATCTACCGAAAGCAGAGATGGCTTGACTGCTTGGTTGTATCTCTTGCACGCTAGGTGCTTCCCTGAGTATCTACAAATGGCTTTTCCTAACACAGGAAACAGCTGTGGATTTCTATGACAGAGGCCAACTGACAATGTATTAGCTATGTTTACTCTTTTATATCTAACTCAAATCCAAGACCCAATGTAGGTGAACTTTCTTTTCTATCTTCGGCGTACGAGATTATTTTTGGGGCGGGTGGGGGGAGCAATAGCTAACTTAGTGAAATCTTTGAGATCTCTTTGTGGTATTTGGGGGATCTGTTGTGTGTTAGAGTGTATTTCAATCCTCCTGTATTATTGTGGCAGAAAAAAAAAAACCTGTGCTGTTGACGTAGTTGGCAATGAAATGCCTTTGGAGACAATAGTAGGTCAATGTGTTTATGGCATATTCTGAACTCCTAGGAAATTTAGTTCTATATTTTCAAGCACCGTTTGGTTCTCATTAGTGGGAAACATAATTAGCTCAAGCTTATCAGTAACACAGATGAGTCATGTTTTCTTGGGTCCACTTGAGACACAAAAACTGAGTTTTCTTTAGCACATCATCTTGACGTGCAGTGAAATTCAGACCGAGAAGTTAAACATTGTCATGGAGTAACTTTTTTCTTTTGGCACTTACAATTTTGCTTATGGGGTTAACCCTTTTTGCAGCTTAACTCATTCAGATCTCCATAAGACAGGTCAGTTGCTGTCTTTGCATAGATGTTTTGTGAAACATGACCACATATCCATTTAAAAGCGATGAAGGAACCGAAAGTAAATATCGGAACATACATCACCACATGCGCAAAAAGATTTCCACCCTCACACTTGAGTTTTCCCAATGGCTTGTTTATGGTGGTCCATACCTACAGGCATAAATTGAACAGTTGCAAACACATCGGTGAAACCTCATATGGTGTTTTTATAGTAAGATGCATGTTTAATGTTTGAAGAAAAATATTCACCAATGTACTGTCCCTTTTATTCTGAAAATACAAATGCTATACA